GATGATATTCTGTCTATGCTGGTGCAGTGAAAGAGGTTCCTGGTTTTCCTCTTCAGCTGGAATGTCAACTTCATATGGGTCATTCATGGAACCATCAAGAACCAGCTGGAGTTTTATAACAGGTGAGCAGCAGTTCAGGCTGTCTCTGATCTCAGGTTCTCTGGTACTCAGTATTCATTTGTTGTTCCAGTTCGTTGATGACCCATATCACAGAGATCTACTTCAGAGCGTGGAAGAAGGCTGACGGTGAGTTTCTGGAGCAGATGGAAAGCTCGTGCATTCAGGACTTCATGCAGTGTGCCATCTTCCTGCACAGATCCTCTCCAGTCTACGCCAAAGTGCGACAGGTAGACCAACCGCCTGTTCTGTCCAGACTATTGTAATAATGATTGTGTTTTGTAATCTGTGGTCTCTTATGTTGCAGATCGTGAGCTATTTCCACTCCAGGAAAAGCTGCCCCAGAGTGGAGAAGATGCTGGATGGCCTCTACAAACCCATTCTCTGGAAGTCCTTATTTGTACGTTGACAGATTTACAGACACATTAAAACTAGGTTATTTGCATTTCTTTTCTTGTTTTTATTGTTTTGTTTTTCCCAGGTTCCCAACTCTGAGGTACGAGCAAACGCCACTTTGCTCTTGGCCGACGCCTTTCCAATCCATGACCCGGCCCAAGGCAGTGAGAACATAGATGTGAAGATTCAGAAGCAGCTGGACACAGTGATGGTGAGAATCTTCACCAGTCTGAACAGTCTCATCTTATCTTATTATTCTTATTAACTGTGACTTCATCTCTACTCCAGCGCCTTCTCGATGATCCTTATCCCGTCGTGCGCTCCAACGCTGTTCTTGGCGTCTGTAAAATTCTGGCTAAGTGCTGGGAGCTCCTTCCTCCTGCAATCATCACCGGCTTCCTGAAGAAGCTGATCACAGAGCTGTCCTGTGACATCAGCTCCCCTGACGTCCGTTGTTCTGTCTTCAAGGTAAGAAAAGAATACACACAGGGGCTTTTATTTTCTTCATTTCCCTAAACTGGGGTATTTTTAGGAATGTCTTGTGCAATGGCTCTTACTGCTGTGTCTCATGTTTACCACAGTGTCTGACCATCATCCTGGACAATGCTCTCAGCCATCCACTTCTGGAGAAACTCCTGCCCACCCTCAAATACAGTCTTCACGATAACTCCGAGAAAGTTCGCACAGCTTTCCTTGACATGCTCATCAAAGTCAAGGCCACACGTGCTGCCAAGGTGAGCTGTCAGCCATCAGAGATCAAACGTTGCCTCTAACTCTTCAATTTACTGTTGATTTAATCAAACACTGACTGATTTATTGGACTGAATTCTGAGAAACCCAGCATGATAATTATATGCTGTCTTTACACATAAGCATAAACCTTGAAGGTTTTGGAATTTCATTGTTTTTAAAAGTTTGTCCATCAAACCCAGCTCAGCTAACTCGGGTTTAGTGAAAAAGAAACAAGAAGAGCTGTTCCTGAAAAGACAAAACTGAAAAAGCTAAGAGCTAAGAGCGGAACCAGAGCTGGTCCAGAGGGCTCAGTCTGGACTAGACCAACTAAAGGTCAGAACGTTAGTCACACGTCACTTGAAAATGTAGCTACAACTACAGCGAGCTATATATATTCATACATTTAACATCTGCAACTGAGATAAAGGTTAGCAGGGTTGTGGCTAAGGACAGGACAGAAAGTGTTGACAATAGTTGAAGAGGTAGAACTTGAAATTGTGATCGTTTCTCTGTCTGCAGTTCTGGGACATTTGCCACATGGACCACCTCCTTGCCCGCCTGGCAGTGGATTCTCCGTCAGTCTCCAAACGCATCACTGAACTTCTCTTCAAGTCCTTCTTCCCTGTCAACGAGTCGGAGAGAGAGTGGTGCAGTCGCTGCATCACCCTCATCCAGATGAACGCTCTGGCAGCACGAAGGTTCTATCAGGGCGCCCACAAACACACGGCCCCCACTAACATCAGTGAGTTCTGGGTTTGAGTGGGCATCGTGAATGTGTGATGTTGAAGTTTGAATCCTGCCATGGACCAACACTGCTGTATATTTCAGCAGCAGAAGGAGAGGTGACAGACGGAGTCACCCTCAGCTGTTGGACTTTCATTTCTCTTTTTTTCTTCCTCCAGTCAAGATGATGTTGGCCATTCGCCGCATCCTGAACAGCTGCATCCAGACTGACTGTGACATGAGTGACATCAACGAGGGCAACAAGGAGAACAGTGAGGTGAGACTTTGTTTTTACTCTTCATCTCATTTTAAAACCCAATCATCAAAATGTTTTCAATTCAAATGAATTTCCCTTCATGACTCAGTAAAACCACTCGTGAGGTCGTTGTAATCCGACGCTCTCTGTTCGTCCCAGCAGGCGGCGCCTGTTGAGTTGGGTAAAGACGTGGCTCTCGTGTCTGGTCTGCTGGAGATGGTGGTCATCCTGTGGAAGAGTGTGGAGAAGGCTCTGAAACAAAATGAAGAAGCTCAGAAGTACACCGTGGCCAAGTTTGGCAGTGTTCTGTCCAAATATTTCCAGACCTTCGAGGTACTTTACAAGTATTTCACTTGTAACTTAGTTTCACCCTGTTTCACGTTCGTCAGTTATTGGAGGTGAAGGTTCTATTTTTCTTTCTCTCTTAAGGATGAGCGTTGTACTGTTCCACTCATACAACTGGCCTCCTTCATGCCTCCTGCTGCAGTTCCAACATTCAGGTGAGCACAGGAGGACACTGTGAGACAGGCTGTCCGTCTGTAGTACGTTGACTGTCTCTCTCCCTCCCCAGCTGTGGGCTCTTGTCCAGGCTGAGGCGTCTGGAGCCAACAGCCGTGCAAGCTCAGTACGGCCAGCTGTTGGACTGTCTCTGTAGCTGGGGTCAGGCAGCTGACATCCTCGAGGTCATCACCGAATGGCTGACTGAAGCTCCTCCCAAACAGGGGGTCAGTGTCTGCAGCATAGAGCAGCACAGAACAGTCTGCCTGTGAGGTTAAGCCTCTCCTTCTCTTCTCCACATCAGCAGAGTGCTGCCCCCGGCCGTAAGATGGTGCGAATACAGGAGACAGTGGAGGCCAAACCAGAGCTGGCACTGGTTTACCTGGACTATCTGTTTAACCACTCCTCAACACGGGACACAGTTCTGTCCGTGGGTGAAAAGTCACTGAAACAGCTCCACACTGTCCTGGGCAACTGGAAGGTAGGAAGTCTTAAAAAGAATAGGATTTGATGGAAAATAAAATGATTTCTTTTGTGGTTAGGCTTTTGTCTTTTTTGCTGACATGAATCATTTCCTGTCTTGTGTTTTTTGTCTCCACAGTCCGTGCTTTACACCCACCTGAACTCCACCCCACAGGATCCTACAGCCCCCAGTGTGGAGACGGCACTGCAGGCCTTCCTGCTGCACGGCCGTCTGGGTGCACATCTGCAACATCAGGTCAGTAATTATGTCACTTTCACCTGGAAAATATAAATCATTAAAACAGACCTTGTGGTTCTTCAGGATATTAAAAAATAATAATGCACCATCTGCTCATTGATCTACACTAGCTGACGGTCGCTGCACAGATCAAACACAGGTCACTGACTCTTGCTTACGAAATAACTGCAGGGGGCGCTCCTGTTTATCTAAACTCATTGATAAAGGCTTACACATCCATTCGGATGCTGCGCTCAACACAGGAGTGTGGACTTGTCTTGTTCCCTCCTCACACAAGGTCATCTCGCTCGTTCTCCACCCTGGTTCCCATGTGGTGGAACAAACTACCAGCTGCCACAAGAGGGCACCTGTCCTAACAAACCCACTAACGTCTAACATGAACCTCTTCTTACTCTATGACCTGCTGTGTTCGCTGTAGCTCGATAGTTCCTCCACCTGTGAGTGGCTCTGGATGAAGTGTCTGCTAAATGTAATAATAGTCCAGTCAAATAAAAGACGTCTCCCCCATTTCCTCCAGGCCTCCGAGGGTCGTGACTACCTCTTCTCTCTGGAGCACATAGCAGTTTGGGTGGCTGACAGGGTTTTGCCCTTCCTGAACGAGGGCAGCAACGACGAGGATGAAAATTCAGCAGCGTCTCTGCTGCTGCCTGTGCAGATTATTGAGGTGAGGCTTTTTTTTATTACAGCTGTTGGAAACCTGCTGAGATCTCTTCTATTCAACCAGCAGAAGGTGGAGCTGCTAGAACATCCATTAGATCCATTATATTAGAGTTCTATTGAGAGACTGACTCACTTGTCTCCTTTCTCAGGACCTTCTGCTGCTGGAGACAAATATAGACATAACATCTTTAGGACGATGTTGCCCAGTTAGCCTCTGTTGCCCAGTTAGCCTGTGTTGCCCTGTAATCACATGACCTAATAATGACACGTTCTTTGAAGGTTTTCCTAGCTGTGTGCCGAGATGTTTTGCTTGTGGGTTTGGGAGATGACAATTTCAAAAGTCAAGTCCTTCACCTGTGCTCGCTCATCCTCCTGTCAGGTGAACATCCTGCTTCATCTACCTGAACCACTGAATTTAACCTGCGCCTACATTTGTCTACATGATCTTTTCTCCTTTGTGTTTTCAGAGGCTGGTTACCTGGGCATCCCTGCAGTTCTTCCTGTCTTGAAAGAAATAGCAGACAGCTTTGTTCCTGATGATGAAAACAGAAATAAAAAGAAGTATCTGGAGGAACCAGAGGACGAGACCACCATCATTCTGGGCGTGGTGGTCAACATCTTCCACAAGGTTATAGAGATCTTAGCTCGGCGCATTAAGAAGGAACCAGAGCTGGGGAAACAGGTTAGCTGGTTAGCTGTGAAGAATTTCTCTGGTTCCACCTGAATATCACAGAAGTTCTTACTTTATATTTTAACTTGATCTTGTCTGTAGCTGTGTCTGTCAGCTGTTCCTGGTCTTACGGACTTCTTCCAAGTGGCTCAGACCTGGAAAAGAGCTCCACTCAGTGGTGTCTTTTCAACAATATTTGCCATCATGGTTGTGGAGAACAACCATGTGCTTCAGAAGGTGGGATCCTAGAGGTTAAACTCTCAGAACCTAGAGTAAATATGATTCCATATCATGGCCAAAATTGGTCCATGGCCAATAAAATGTGGTCGTACAGATTAATTTGGTCCAGTTCAACAGTAAATCACTGGTGTGGTCGGTGTTTGATTAACTATGTGTTTCCATGTTAAAGATGAGACATCCTGAAGAAGTGATCACACCACAGTCAGTGGAGGACATGCCTCCACTCTCCAGCATCCTGCTCTCCATTATCATCAAATCTCAAACAGTTAGCAGGTAAACATTCACTCCTTTTCACACCTCCTCTGACCCAACATCCAGGATTTTCTTGAATTGAAATTGATATTTGGCATAATTTATGGTTTATAGGTGTCAGCCAAATCAGTGGCTAACGTTAGCTCTGGTGTCTGTACCAGGATGGTTGTAGCTAATGTTAGCTCAGGTGTCTGTACCAGGACTGTTGTAGCTAATGTAACTTCCCTTATTTAAATGTTAAATTATTGGGCAGTATTTATTAAATTATTATTGTGTTCTTCTTTCAGACAGCCAAATCAGTGGCTAACGTTAGCTCTGGTGTCTGTACCAGGATGGTTGTAGCTAATGGTAGCTCAGGTGTCTGTACCAGGACTGTTGTAGCTAATGTAACTTCCCTTATTTAAATGTTAAATTATTGGGCAGTATTTATTAAATTATTATTGTGTTCTTCTTTCAGAGCATTTTTGAGGGAAGTTGAGTCGTCTCTGGAGTCTGACGCCATCAGCTGTCTGCTGGAACTGGCTGCAGTTCTGCGTGTATTGGCTGTCATCAAACACTGTGAGAGATTTAAGATTTTTTTGTTAAAACTGATGAATTAAATGATTAGATCCTTTGAGAAATCACATTTAAAGACTAAAAGAGTCTGTTCTGAGCTGTTGTTGTGAAGATGAATAATCTTTGTTCCGTAGCTGGAGTCTCTACTGGGGCTTTGAAGAGTTCAGCCGTTTGTGTCCAGCAGCAGCTTCAGACACACACAGCTACAGCTTTAGGCAGCACTGACGTCCTGGGGTAAGTGGGGGGAGAAGGAGGGAGATGTTCACTGATTGGTTAACTGTTTTATTTTTCCTGTTTAAACTGTGTTCACCATGTTTTCACACTTTTCTCAACAGGGTGATTTTTGACTCGTCTATGAAGACGGTGAATCAAATTCTGTCTCCATAAACAAGCTTAAAAAAATTGATGAAAAAAGGGAGTAAAACATCAGCTTGTCTGCTACTGTCATGGACTCTGTGACAATATGTGAATATGTCAGTTTATCATTCAGGTCATAATCAAAGCAGCTGTGAAATAGCTGTTTATTTGTTCCATCTTTTAAAAACATTGTACGTATATATAAATATATATCAACTACATAAAACCTATTTTTGATACCACTGCTTCCATTGTAGGCTGTATTGTGATGTTGATGGGAATAAAAGTGTGTATCACTCAGCAGGAACCAGATGTTAACTGCTTTTTTTGTTGTTGTTTTTTTCAGTTTGCAGTAATATAAAGATATAAACTCTAGGTCATTGACAAGAAGTGTGTCAAACTACTGAATGCTGATTTTTTTTTCTCATGTTCAGTAATGAGTTGTCAGTACTTTCTATTGTTGCTTATTTATAAAACTAGTATTACTAAACAGCTCTACCATCAGTTAAATAGTCCCAGTGTTAGTGCGGCTCTTGGTTGACTGTACGCACCATAGAATTGAATGGAAAATGAAATGAAATCATCAATTATTTCCTATTGTGGTACTGAACAAAACCTGGACCCTGTACAGAACCTTCTGCAGCAAAAAACAGCAGAAACCTTTCCAAACACTTTATGTCTGACGTCATTAATCCTGTACAACGTGTACGTGTGTAAAACCCCTGTTTATTCTGGTTACTATGACCTTTGGTAGAAACACGAAGTTTACCCCAGAAACTGCTGTCCAATGAAGTATTAGTAGCGTTTCTCTTGGTTGTCTTAGAGTTGGAGTTTTTTATCCAATCATATCTCAGCCTCATGTTGCCAGGGTCAACTAAATCTGCCCTAAGGCCTTCACAATCAGAAGTGCTGGCGCTGGAAGTATAAAATGAATAGCAACAAGATGGTTTCATTAACCAATCAGGTCATGGCATCAAACTGGCATATCAAGGCTTGTATTGGCGATTTGAGTGATTTGATTGGTTGGTCAGAGAACTCACAGCCTTTGATCTACCGAACTTCACCCAGCAACTCCCGCGACTTGAAGATGAACTTTTCTCTGCGTCCACCGAGAACATTCTCAGCCTGAAGCGAGTTAAAACTTATTCCATAAATACGAAAGGACAGGCTGGACATTGGTCGTTAGCTTGGAAGGAGAAAGAAAAGTCAAACTAGTTGTTAGAACTGGAGCTCACGGATAATCTGTACAACAGCGTCACTGAACTCATCTCAAGAGGAGGAGGGATTTGGTGAACAACGAACCAGGAGAGTTGGTGAGACAAATTAGTTTACAATTCTTAATTTGTTAATAATACTAATATTATTTGGTTATTTTTTATGTACGGCTAAAGCTAAATCGTGCTTAGTGTCGTTTTAGTAATGACGTCGTTATGGCGTTATACAACATTTCTGTCGTTTCGTCTGGTCAAAATTACGTTACAGATACGTTCGCAAATGACGATTCCCACTGTCCAGAATAAAATTACGAAAGACGTTGTTGTTATTACCAATGTTAATTACGGATAGATAAACTGTTAATGTTGGTATGTAATGTTAAAACGGTTAGCTGGTTTTTATAGACCCCGTGACTTCATTAAGATATGGATTTACTCGGGCAGGACGCCCCTGAAGGTCTAGGTGAGAAATACACGGTACGTCACTGCTGTAGTGTACTGTACTATAGTGTACTGTACTGTAGTGTACTGTACTGTAGTGTACTGTACTGTAGTGTACTGTACTTCAATGGCCGACCATTAAGGCCAGCACAGCCTTCTCTGCCTAATCTACCTATCTACTGTATCTCTCTCTCTCTCTCTCTCTCTGTGTGTGTATATATATATACATATATAATACATATATATATATATATAATACATATATATGTATTTTATATATAAAATCCAGAGTATTCTGTTCTCGTTATTCATATTTTGTATTTGGAGTTTTTTATCCAATCATATCTCAGCCTCGTGTTGCCAGGGTCAACTAAATCTGCCCTAAGGCCTTCACAATCAGAAGTGCTGGCGCTGGAAGTATAAAATGAATAGCAACAAGATGGTTTCATTAACCAATCAGGTCATGGCATCAAACTGGCATATCAAGGCTTGTATTGGCGATTTGAGTGATTTGATTGGTTGGTCAGAGAACTCACAGCCTTTGATCTACCGAACTTCACCCAGCAACTCCCGCGACTTGAAGATGAACTTTTCTCTGCGTCCACCGAGAACATTCTCAGCCTGAAGCGAGTTAAAACTTATTCCATAAATACGAAAGGACAGGCTGGACATTGGTCGTTAGCTTGGAAGGAGAAAGAAAAGTCAAACTAGTTGTTAGAACTGGAGCTCACGGATAATCTGTACAACAGCGTCACTGAACTCATCTCAAGAGGAGGAGGGATTTGGTGAACAACGAACCAGGAAAGTTGGTGAGACAAATTAGTTTTGTCTTGTTAATTATATTGTAATTGTAGCATATTATAGGTTTGTTTATTATATATAATCACACTTGTGGCTAAATTGTGCTTTTTGGGTTTGTTGCTTTATTAATGACGTCATCATGGCTACGTGAATTAGCCAGGACTTGACGACTCGTTATACACCGACCGAGGCCTCGTTGACTGTAGCCTGAGTAAAGGTTTCAGTAAACGGCTACACTCGTCCTCTCGTCGTCGTTGTTCTCACCATGTCTACAAGACAAACGTCGAGCTGCTGCCATGTGATTGGCTGATGACATAGATACGTGAACAGGTGTTCCTAATAAGGCTACGAGGGTGAAAACACGCGTGATTAATGGTTTGTTAGTTTTATGGCTTAAAATCTTGAATCATCAAAGTCTCATTATCCTGCCGCTCCTGCCACCATCGTCTTCATCATCGTCGTCCTCATCGTCGTCTTCATCATCGTCGTCGTCGTCTTCATCATCGTCGTCCTCATCATCATCATCCCTCCTACGGGCGTGTGCGTGCGTCCATGTGAGTGTGTGTGTGTTGACGTCAGAAGGTGAGGAGGGGCCGCGGCTGCTGTGTCTCTGTTTGTGGTACTGAAACAACGCCTGTGTTGTCTCTTCTCTCCTCTGCGGCTCTCCGATCTTGAGACGATGCCTCTCTAGGCTCCGCTGCTCGTGGCGGCAGATCACCGACGCTGCTTCGACAAGAACATGCGCTTCTAACGCCGACTTTGCGGCTGTGGATCAGTTGTGTTGTGGTGAAGACAGGAGCAGTGATGGACCCACCGTGCTGTCCCACCACCATCCACCGGCAGCACCTCCTTCTACACCTCCTGCTGGCTGCTCTGGCTCTCAGCTTCTACTCCTCACCTGCTCTGGCTGACGGAAAATTCGGTAGGAATAACGTTTATGTTCAAATCGACGTTTTTATTGTCGTATTTTGTCCCTGATGCAGCCTCAGCTTCACATCATCAAACCATCTGCCTTTGGCTGTGTTTATATTTATGAACTCATCAGAATTAAAACATTTGACTTAAAAATGTATGTTTAATTACATTGAACCAATATAAATGTTAAATGCACGAACTTTATTTTTATTTTTTAACATTTCCCTGTATTTCTTTAGGGCCTTAGCAAAGTTGTTCTTTCTCAGTTTCCATCTATTTTTATTCTACTATTCAACAACCATACAAGCACAAACAGGAAGTGCAAGTACATGATGGTGTATATTCAGTATTCATATTAAATATACTTTTCATATAGATGCTTGTATTTTATCCACTCAAAACTATTTACTGCTAGGTCAGAGTCCAGAACCAGCTGTTAGCAGTTAGCTGCTCTAAATGTCTAAACATTAGCATTAGCAGTTTAAACTTCTGTTTTTTTTTTATCCCCAAATTTCACAAACTGCCCCAGTTCATTCAGGACTCTGTAAGGCCTGGGGCTCCAGCTCAACTTCACGTCCCTGCTGTGGAGGCAGTGGAAACTGACCGTTACATAACAGTGAGAGCGGGGCCTGATGGAGAACACACTCGGTCGCTCACACCTTTTACCTTCATCACGTTCCTCCACGTCTACATCTGCGCTCATGTCCGCAGCCTTAATGATCAAGATTAACTGGGAGTCCAGAGCTGATCAGAGGGGGTGACGCTTCACAGGTTAGCCAGTGGGGAGCGCTGTTTGTTTTAATGCTTCAGTCCACTGTCGTTCTAAGTTCTTGATGCGTCGGGGGTGGAGCCTCGTGTTCTTCTTCTGATTCTACAGTAGGCTGAATGGAAACAACAGCCACAGCCTGTGGTGTGAAACCGTCTGAACAGCTGACAGGCTTTATTTCCTGTCTCTGTGGAGACACTGTGCAGGAAAATGTTCTATGCTAGGACAGGTCGTCCATCCAGGGACACTTGTTTTCTTTTATTGTTGTGGAGAACTTGCCAACGCACCTGAAGAAGTGAACGTTTTTACACCTGGCCATTGTCCACTAAATGATCGTGCCGTGGGCAGTGCTGACCAAATGTAGGAGAGACGAACACTTGACCTCAACACGTGATGTAAAAAAGTACAGTTAACAGTACTGTCACATTTACATTACCTAGAAAAGAGGAAGATAAATATCATCATCATCATCATCATCAT